CGTCACACTTTTTCTGTTACAAACTGACTCCGGCCCCCGACCAGAGAAGTGAAAAGTTATTTGGCCCTTACAGGAAAAAGTTTGGAGACCCCTGGTCTAAATAGACTGGTTCTGACAAAATATACGCTTCTGTGATACTTAGTGGGGAAAACATTGTGCTTATTTTGATGTCAGTTTAAATGAAACATTGTCTCAGAACAATGAAGAGGAAAATCTGCTTGCTTTGCATTCATTGTTTGATGTTTGATAGAAAGTGTGCTGTTTGATAAAATAACAATAAAATCTTCATTAAAGGAGGCTGACTGTCTTTACAGTCCCCTGTAACCAATAACACCTGGCAGGTGATCTGGTCACAATAAGACCTGCTGAATTAGGTATTTACATATTTATAATTTTCAAATATTTAGTGTCCAGGAAAAGGTTTGGTCGTTTCCAATGTTGCTTGAGAAAAAAACGCATTTAGCTCACAGGGAGGGTTTAAATGTGTTGTGAAAATGAAAGCATCAGAGTCGTCGTTAAAGATTAATGAATGAACAAGTAAAAATCATGGCTGGAAACATTCTCTGAAGGCTCCCCAGAAAGACACTTTTACTGCTGGTAATGTATCACATCATAGCCGAGTCATAAACGCTCCTCTGTAAATTAAGATGCTGGAGCTTCCTGAAAGTCTCTGTGAACATTTCCCTCACAGCAAAACGATGACATCAGACCTGACGGAAAGAAACGAGAGCCTGCAGGAAATGGAAGCTCTGATAGCTCACAAAATTATGACCATAATGGATCACACAGGGAAATATAGTTTATAAAACATTAGAAAAAAATCTTCTGTTTAGGTTGATACATGGACATTTTGACTGATCCCTCTCTGTAGGTTTTCAGTTAAGACCCTGTTAGAGAAATACACGGCCGAGCCCATCGATGACTCAGCTGAGGAGTTCATCAACTTCGCAGCAATCCTTGAACACATCCTCAGTCACCGGTTTAAAGGTAAGAAACATTCAAAAATAAATAAATGCAACCTGTGGAAGGAACCGTAAAGCAGGATCTAAAACCTTGGTTTAAAATCCTGTAAGTTGCTTGAATTACAAAACAAAATATAACACAACACAAGTGTCATTGACCAAAGCAAAGAATTTAGCTGATGAAGAAGTGAAATCATCATCTTGCTTAAGAATGTGTGAGCTTTCACCACATCGAAGATGCTGCAGTAGTTTAAAAATTCACATAGAAAATGTTTGAAAGGTTTCAAAACAGGAGCTAAGCGCTGCACTGCTTTGCCGAACTTGAAGCTGAAGTACGCAAAAACAAAATTGAGAAAACTGGGAAATCAAATGAGGAAAACAAACGGTACATTTTGAAATGAGCAAAACAAAAGCCATGATCTTAAATCAGCAGCATTAGCAAAACAGGAACTAAAATCTAAAAATGAAGGAGATTTCAGCGCACAATCTTTAAGTACTTGAAATTATCTCAGTGCTTTTCTATAATTAGGAAATGTAAATAAGGTCAAGTATTTCAAAAAGTATAAAAGTTCTAAAAACCAAACATCGCCATAATGTCTTGAACGAGATTATAT